CCCAAGGCAGAAAGATGTTTCCCTGGTCTTTTAAGATTCCCCCATGATAGAAAGGGTGAGTCTCATTTTTAATAAAGCTACTGGTATATTATAACCACATTATTTTCTTCCTAGAAAAGAAATACTCTAATTTTGTTTTAGGCTACAGTAACTGGAAAGAAACCTTATTTTTAAAACACACTCTTCTTAAACAATAGAACCATTATCTTAAAGGCACTTCAATTTCTATAAACAATTTTATCCACAACCTAATTACTTATTAATCCTAAAAACAATTCCTTAATCTCTTTGGCAACTTCTTAAACTGGAAATATTTCTGGTTTTTCCTTTCTCCATTTCAATATTACCTTTGTCACTCTAAGTTTATAATGTAACTGTCTTATAATCTTGCTTTTTCTTGTCCCCACAGAGCATCTTCAGGAATTCAGGCATTTTAAAAGACTCCTATCTTTCTACTCAGCCTATTCTTTTGTCATACCTTAGCCTATAATATGGTTTAAAAAGCATAGCTTTAGCAAATTTTAATAATACTGGCAAATTTATAATAATTTATTATCTATTAAATAAACTAAGGAAAAACTACTTTAGATCCCCATAACTAAAAACTGTGTTTAGTAGTAAATATTTTAGCAAACATTTTGTTACTAGTTAATTCAGAAACTTAAAAAATCTTAAGCTGTATTATAATTCAGTGTTTTAAATTTACATGTCACATATCATGTATCAGCTAAAAATGGTCAAATAACATAACCTGTACAAATGGTAAACATTTTGATAAAATGTAAGACAGAAGTGTCCTACTTACAGAAAAGAACCATTATATCTAATAAAAACTAAATAGGCAATGTGGAACTCTATGATGTACAAAAATGTACACAAGTGTACAAACAGTTAAATTTTAGTTAATTTAAATTGTATGTGCTCCAAGGTAATACTAACTTGCATTAAAGAATTAAAGGAAGAAATCAAGGCTTTAAAGATTTAGAAGGAAACAGAGGCTACAGCTCACACACATCAAGTAAGACTTTCTTTTCTTTTCTTTTTTTTTTTTTTGAGAAAGAGTCTCGCTCCATCGCCCACGCTGGAGGTGCAGTGGCACAATCTCGGCTCACTGCAACCTACGCCTCCCGGGTTCAAGCGATTCTCCTGCCTCAGCCTCCCGAGTAGCTGGGACTATAGGCATGTGCCACCACATCTGGCTAATTGTTGTTTTGTTGCTGTTGTTTCTTTATTTTTAATAGAGATGGGGTTTCACTGTGTTAGCCAGGATGGTCTCGATTTCCTCACTTCGTGATCCGCCCGCCTCAGCCTCTCAAAGTGCTGGGATTACAGGCCTGAGCCACCACACCCGGCCAAGACTCTCTCAGAATCTGTCCTTGATAACGATCATTCCATCCCCAAGTGTCTCAAAGAAAGGTAGTACTTTCACTTTCTTAGGCTACAACACCAACCCCTGGTGTTTCTTTCAAATTCTTTCTTTCTCAATCATCCACAAAGCATGAAAGTCAATTATGCAGAGCAGTGCTTTTCAACTCTTCTCTCCTCAGGCACATATACAACAATAACATAAGGCAGTCTGGAGGCCCCAGACACTCATGGCACGCAGGTTGGAAAGCTCCAATTTAGAGTATCAAAGGATAAGCCAGGAAATAAACGCCACCTTTTGTGGGCATCATAAAGATGCTTTATAGGTAAGCAACATAGGATCACTGAGTGAGTGAATGACTAAACACTGACCCAGTTACACAAAATGATGTCTTCTTGAACAAGTCCCAGGCAGCCTGCTCTTTATTTGTGCCCTCTTTCCTAATAAAATAAAATAAAATAAAATAAAAAATGAAAATAATAAAAATAAAAGAGTAAAGTATATAACCTTCCGGGAATTGTAACAAGGCTTATTTTTAGTACCTGTAATTGTAAATCAACAGCTGGAAAAGTTTTCTGTGAAAGTGGTTCTCTCATAACTGACAAGGGCCATCTTCTTCACTATTGTTATCAGTATTCTGACTTATAAACACTCATTAAAATATTGTATTTATTAGCCTCATGAGTGGTCATATACTCCTCTTCTCAATATTTATTCTTTCCTCAAGGGCATGAAATTACATATGGGATATATGAGGGCCAAGAATCTCACTTCTAGAATTCATCTAAGGTAGAGGATTCTAAGATGTGATCCACAGGCAAAATGGTTACAGAACAGTTTTCAGCAACTATCTTTCACATAACTATTACATCAGAACTACTACTAAAGTGCACTGTTTATTCACTGAGAAGGCTTTTAAAGGAAAGCTACCATTAATCTGAGAGGAACCCTGTAGAATTACAGACTACTCAGTAATCACAGTACTTCTTTAAAAAAAAAAATCAAGAAACTAGAACTCAGGAAAATGGACTAAAATAAAAGCAATGAATAACCAATGAATAAAACCAATGAATATAGAAATGAACATTAGTGACCTCAAAATGCAGTGATATTGGAAACTAATGTATGTATATGTCAATTCTACTACTGGGCTTTTCAGAAGTAATCTTGATCAGAGTGTATTACCCAGCAGAGGGTGGAAATTAATCTTATTTCCATATCACTGTCTCATTTGTCTTGAGATTTTACAAGACTTTGCTATTTTCAATTTACAGTCATGAGCTGCTGCCTCTGCGTTTGATCACACAAGTCCCCAAAACCTAGAACGCTATACTATAGTTAATCCCTCTAAGAAATATGACAACTTTCTGACTGAAAGCAATTTTTCCTTTATGGCTACACTGAGAGATGTTTCTTATCCCCATTTCACAAGTAACAAGCTTCCTCAAAGAAAAATGGTTACGTGAAACAACAAGTGTTCTGATTCAGTACTTCTAGCAAAATAATCTATTTTCTTATTAGTCTATCAATATTCTATACCCAGGGACTAGAGTAAGTCCTCTTGATTTTTAAGCTCTGTCATAGGGAATAAAAGTTTGTGTTCTTTCTGAATCTCAGGTTTATTTTCACTAGCTTTATGTTAAAGCCACACTCTGAACAATCACCCAATCCATCAATCTGAGCAGGCTCATACTTAGTTATGCAGATTTGGTCCCTTATTATCCCAAACTGCCCATCTCTACTATATCCAGTATTCTGTTTCACTGAGGTTTTTCTATTTCACATCTAGGTCATCCTTCCTTGTTCTTATCATTTTTCGAGCAAGCATTTTTCTCTCTTACTCCACATTTTACTTTCTATTACTTTGTGTTCTCAAGAAAAAGTTTATCTGGAAAAAAATGCCTTAGATTTTCACCATTTTACTCAGTTTCTAACATAGACAATTTCTCCAACAATATTCCCCAGTTACTATTAGCTCAGACCAGAAGCATTACACCATCATAGGTGCCTTCTTAGATGTCTCCAGGCTTAAAAAAGCATCAATATGCCAGATCCTATTTTATCCAAGGCAAGGCCATCTTTAAAAATTTAAACTTTTTAAAAGATGACATATGCATCATATTTCACTTTTGACTTCAACCAGGGTTCTCTACTTAAACATATTCTGGCTGAGACACATTATACAATATGCAGCATGGGTGAATCATAAACTCATAAAACATTAGTGTAAGAAGGCTTTCAAGATGATTTAGGATAACTCTCCCTTTAACTAGGGAAGAAATTGGGGCACTGAAAGTTAAGCACTTTCTGAATTACTACGATGATTCAGTGGTTAAAAAAAAAAAAAAAAAATTAAGAAACCAAGCCCCCAAACTGAAAGTAAGTCATATTCAAGTGTTCATGCATGGAAGAATTATTTGGAGCTCAAAACATAATAACCAAGATGCTAAATAAACAGATCCACAGATATATATTTAAAGGGAATTCTCGTTATTTTCAAGGTTCTATTTTGGCACTTTATTTTTATTTTGCTTCTAAGTGTATGCTCTTTTTTTTTTTGAGACAGAGTCTCGCTCTGTCGCCCAGGCTGGAGTGCAGTGGGGTGATCTCGGCTTACTGCAAGCTCCGCCTCCAGGGTTCACGCCATTCTCCTGCCTCAGCCTCCCGACTAGCTGGGAATACAGTAGCCCGCCATCACGCCTGGCTAATTTTTTGTATTTTTAGTAGAGATGGGGTTTCACCGTGATAGCCAGGATGGTCTCGATCTCCTGACCTTGTGATCCGCCCGCCTTGGCCTCCTAAAGTGCTGGGATTACAGGCGTGAGCCACTGCACGCGGCCACCCTTCTTTTTCTTGATACAGAAATGACACTAACATTACTCAGTTTTTCAGATGTAATCAGTTATTTCTGGCCCACAAATGAAACAAAGAAAGTGAAGGAGCTTTCCATACTAATTAAAAGAGAGCAAATAACATTATCAAAGGTTAAACTGATATTTTAAAATGTATACAAGTAAGAAACCACACCTCTGCACAGAAGACAATAGTGTTAAAAATTAGGCTGGCCACCAAGTAGTCTTACGAGCCTAGAAAATAAGGGAATTAATAAGGGAATCATCTGGGCTATGTTTGAATAAAACTTAATTTGTGGATACTGAAATGTGAATTTCATATAATTCTTATGTTACATAAAATTATTATTTTTTAATTTTTTCCAACCATGTAAAAATATAAAAATCATTATTAGCTCACAGACCATATAAAAACAACTGGTGGGCTTGCATTTGGCTTATGGATTACAGCTTGCCAATCTCTAGTCTAGGGAATAGCAGAGAGAAGGGAAGGCAGGACGTAATCGGTTTAATAACTAGGGAGACTATTTATTAACTTCTGCATTAAACCTAAATGGAAAAGCAGCAACCCCAACCTCCAACAAGTATGCATCAATGTCAGTCTCAGTTTGAAAAAAAAATGTTGTACTTCACAGTCTTTATCACAGAAACAGCTCCAGAAACAATCATTGATTCATAGGTGAAAAAAATCTCACAACAGTATACTAATCATAATTTTAAACAGATAATTTGTTTTTGTAGAAGTATCCTAAAATTATAGTATTAGATACATTATTCATTACCATTTTGTCCCTGAGTCGCTCTCCACGGATAAAAAAGTCAGCACAGCCATTCTCTTCCTGATGAGGGACTTTGAAGACAGTGACGCTGCTTAGTCCACTCCCTCCAAGTGGTAACCATCCACCACTTGAGTCATCTCGGGTCATCACCACAGCTCGCACTCGTGCATAACTATTACTAAAATAGATGCAAAGATCAGGAATTAGCTTTTCCATAAACAAAAAACAGCCAAGCCATCAGTCTTGTTTGAGAAACCAAAGACCACATTAGTTAATATGTGGTGACTAAGGTGTTTACTACTTCCATGAAAATCCACAGAAAGTAACCTACTTGAAAAAGGTCAAAAACCACAAACAGACTTTAAAGGTTGTCCTTCATTTTGAAGACTAATCTCGTAATAAAAGACTATAAAACTACTACTTCAATTCATCATTTCAGTAGTTCCAGCACATCTTATTGCCATGGAACAAGTTGTGAAGGATCCCAAAGACAACTACTGTCAAACTACACAGGCTACCATAAAACTTGTCTATATATGTCCATTTGCTACAATATTATAACCAGGACAAACTGCTGTATTTCAGCACATTCAACCGTAGCATCTAGAAGTTCCTAACAGTTCCAGAATATATTATAAATAAAATGCTGAAACAAACATGCTTAGTTTAGATGCTACATTTTTAATTTCTTCTACCAACTGGGAATCTCAATCACTTACACAAATCATATAAAGAAAAGTGTTCTGCTTAAATTACTTAACAAGCAAATTGGTCCGTAGAAACTATAAGAAATAAATTTCTGTTATTAGCTAACCAGTTTATGACATTTTTCTATAGCAGTCCAAAGACAGTAAGACACATGTGTAATCAACATGATAATCAAAATACAGACCATTTTCATCACTCCAAAACCCTTACGCCAAACACAGAGATTTTGCCTGTTTGGGACCTTCAAATAAATGGAATCAAACAGAGTCACCATTTGTACCCTTTTTATCTGACTTCCTTCTCTCATGTTGTTTTGTGTATCAGAAGTTCATTTCTTTTAACTAAGTAGTCCTCTAATTAAATAAATCATAATTTATTCTTTCTTATATGGATAGGTATTTGGATTTTTCTAGTTGTTGGCAATTATGAATAAAGCTGTTATAAACATTCTTGTACGTCTTTTTGTAGACATTTTTTCATTTCTCAAATAATTACCTAGGAGTGGAATAGGTCACAGGATAGGTACATGTTTATCTATACAAGACACTATCTTCCAAAGTGGTTGTACTGTTATACATTCCCATCAATAATGTATGACAGTTTCAGATTCACCATATCCCTGCCAATACGGTGTTTTCAGTCTTAACTTTACTCATTGTATTGAGTATATAGTGGTATCCCACAGCGTTTTTAATTTGTATTTCCATAATGACTCATGATGTTGAACATCTTTTCATGTGCTTTCTGGCCATTTGTTTATCTTGTTTTTACGTCTGTGACCATTTTTTATTACACTATCTTTATTATTATTTTTAGAAGTGTTTTTAAAAATATATTCTGGACATAAGTATTTTTCAGAGAATATACTTTTAAAGTTGCACTGGGTTGTGGTTAAGAGTGAGGATTCTAGAGTCAAACTTCCACAAGTTGGATCTTGGCTTAGAAACTTACTATCTGTATGACTTTGAGAAAGGTACTAAACCTCTGTGCCTCAATCTTATGTGTGAAATAACAGCACTCACTTACAATAAATGTAAACCATGCCTGACACATAACAAACACTATATGAGTATTACTTTTTATTATCATTATGACAACAAAGCATTGAAAATTGAAGACACTGCCATCCTGGTATTTCAAAATCAGATAGGATCTGGAAAATAATTGAATTTTCATGATGAACCATAATTATCTATTATTGGGGTCAAAATAACTATATAGAAACTCTAAAAGGTTTTGGCTTCACAATTTACTCTTTTGTGGAAGCTTTTTATTATTTAGTTATTCAGAGGCTCTGATTCTTATCTGGACCCAATTCTTGCCAATCTTCAACTCAGAGAAATGGTCAGAGAAGTGTGGGTGCATAAAGGCTGGGTCGATGTAGATATTAAATCCTCCTGAGATGGGCTGGAGCAAACTCCACCACTATAACCACAACATGCATCTTAAAAGGCAGTGGGAGCAGACTACATAATAACCACATTTGTGGGCTAGCTACCATTCTAAAGCAAATTAAGAGAATCTTATAAGATGTTCCTTCTTTATTAAAAACCTACACTGTAACTCAATTTCTAATCTCTGATCATATTTGAACAGTAATTTCAAATATATCCTTTCATACACAGCAGGAGAACTAAACTACTGTCTTGTATGTTTTGTGCTGCTTTAACAGAATACCAGACTGGGTAAATGATAAAGAGAAATTTATTTCTCACAGTTCCAGAGGCTTGGAAGTCCAAGATCAAGGCATCAGTAGGTTCATTGTCTGGAAAGAGGTCAGTCTCCTCTTCCAAGATGGTGCACTCTGGAGGGGAGGAATGCTGTGTCCTTACATGGCAGAAGGTGGACAGGCAAAAAGGGATGGGCACCCTCAGTTCTTTTATTAGGATATTCATCCATTCATGAAGGTAGAACTCTTACTTTCATGATGGTAGGTGCTAAACACCTCCCAAAAGGCCGCACCTCCTAATACTGTTGCATTGGAGTTTAAATTTCAACATAAATTTGTGGGGGCAAAAACATTAAATCCACAGCAACTACTAATGTAGAAATCCAGGTGAGAGGTAATATTGAATGGAACTAGGATGATAACAATGGACACGAAGAGGAACAGAGAGATTTGGGTATATTTTGGAGGTAGAGCCAAGAGAACTTGCTGATAAGATTTTAACTACAAAACAAGTAAAGTGTTGCAAATCATCTAAAATTCTTAGTGGCATCCATGAGCTTCATTTCCTAAAATTTTCAGCTGGTATTTCAATAAAGTCAGAAGCAAAAGATGACCAAACATGAAGACAAATTTTGCCTCAGTTGTACTGAACCATGTAGTTTTGAAATGACAGTACTATATTACACATGAACCAGAAAAACTCTAAAGCTATACTTTATTGCACTTTGTGGATAAATGTATGGCAGTAATTTCAAATTTATATATTGGCAAAATATTTCTTAACAATCAAATTAAGAGTACAGTTGCTGAAAGTTTTACTAGCCCTAGAAGTTTTAACTGTCTGAAACACAAAGTGTCCTTCACCTAAAGTGACCTGCTTTTTTAGTTTCTTTTCTCCCTTACAGAACCATCTTGCTTCATGATTACCAAGCCTATTATATACCCCACCCAACTACTAGACAAGTAGAAGGCTCAAGGAAGACACAGTCTGGAGATGTGAGATTTTATCATATGTTTTTTGCTTGTTTTATGTGTCCATTATAAGGAAACACCAGGCTTAAAACACTTAAAGTGTTTGATAGTCAAGCTCCTTAGAGAACGAACCTAAAGGCTCTAACCATACATTCGGACATTTCTTGGAACACAGAATACGTGCACGGTTTTAATACTGATTCCCATTCTTCCCATTTCCTGGTCACAACCAAAAGTTCCCAACTCTTCCTTTTCTCTCCACCAAGAAGGCAGAAACTGACCATAATATTGTACTCTAGACTCCTACATACTAATGTATGTGTGAAATTTTTTTGTGATTTTTTTTAGTTCATTGGTTAACACATGTATGAGTCTACAATACAATATTATGCAAGTTTTTGTAACATTTTTACAAGTTTATAATACTTATATTAACCAGATGTTCAATTATTAGGTAAAATAATTGTGCATGATGTTCATAAATTAAAATTCTATCTATCCCCATCCCTCTTATTGTTATCAGTTAATATGTTACACATAATATGTATTCAACTTAATAACAGGAAAACAAAGTTAACAAGCATTGTAGCACAATATTGACTCCGATGGAATTCTCATTGATTTTACATTGGTTTCATTTTCTAAATACAATCCTGTGTTGCATAATGTTTCCATCAACAATGGACCCCATATACAACAGTCCCATAAGATTACAATACCGTATCTTTATTGTACCTTTCTGACATTTAGGTACACAAATACTTACCATTGTGCTAAAACTGACTACAGTTTTCAGTACAATAACATCCCGTACAGCAAGCCTGTCCAACCTGTGGCCCAGGATGGCTTTGAATGAGGTCCAACACAAATTCATAAATTTCTTAAAACATTATGAAATTTTTGTGTGATTTTTTTTAAAGCTCATCAGCTATCGTGTTAGTGTATTTTCCCATCTAGGTTTGTGTAGGTACACTCTATGATGTTTGTGTGCACAATGATGAAATACCCCAACAATGTATTTCTCAGAGCACATACCTATTGCAAAACACACGCCTATTTTACTTAGCATACTTTTATTCTCTTGAAAGTACATACAATAATTTTACGATTTACTTGACAGAAGATGCTGTAATTCCACTCAACTGGCACTCAAATAACTAATATGCAAGGAAATGTTATCTTGAGGAATCCAAAATTCATAGAGCCTATAAATCTGTAGCAAAGCAATTTTTCCCTTTACACCAAAGATTAATTTTGTGAACCTCCTGGAAAGGATTATGAATCCCCAAAATTATAATCAAATGTGAGTTTTTTTTTTTTTTTTTGCCACATACGCATTTTCTTCAGGGGAGATAGTATATAGCTTTAATCACAATAGCATCTATGATCACCCTGGCCCACCAATTTAGGAACCATTGCTATACACAAATGCTATATACAAAATGACTAGCAGTACAGCTCTGGCTCTTGCTCAGATCAGTTTCCTAAATTTGGATACATTTATAACAGCCGGCTGGCCATCTATATTGTTTTGGTTGACTATTCTTAAGCTTAACATTTCTAAAATAAATTGTTTGTCTTTCTGTTCTCTCTATACCTTTCTTTTCTATTATAATACATACCCAAGCAATACCCTGATATTAGCCCAGTGAGACCTATTTGTATTTCTGACCTCCAGGCTAAAATATAATAAATTTCTGTTGTTTTAAGTCACTAAGTTTATGGTAATTTGCCTACAGCAGCAACAGGAAACTAATATAAAGGACGGAACACCTTCTTGAATATATAGTAATACATATACAGGAGAAAAAGATAACTTTTTCCATTTTTAATTACAATAGTATTAAAACAAAATCCTGACCTCCGCCCCACCAACCACCAAATTGAGAAGGTTCTTAGGATGCCTTAAGATTTGTACAGTATAACAGGAACTTATTTATCCATTGAGGGATGTTTATAGTGACAAAACACCCTTTGCTCTCTATATACTTTAAGTAAATATTAACCATCCAAATATTAAACATTACTACAGAGACTAGGTAGAAAAGGGAAGCATTTAATAAAAGTAGGTTAGGATGATACAGTACTTCACAATTTAAGTATTTGCTTTCTAAACTATGTAGAATGCAGATATGCAGAAGATAACCACATTACTACTCAGTAATCTATTCACTTAACCCATGAGATTCATATACCACATAAACTAAATTGAAAAGTTACGATCCTCTCCCCGTAGAAGCTCATAATCTAGTGGGCAAAAATATATTGCCACATAATGGGAATACTGGAGATTACTAATATTCATATTTGATGTAGGTTTTTAATAGTGGTATATCAGGTAGATAAAAAGCTAAGGACACTCAATAGAGAGAGCATGACACAAGTACATCATATTTAAGAACCAATATAAAGTCCAAAAGATGATGGTAGACATAAGCGATAGAAAGAAATAGTAGTTGACTTACTGTATCAAGCCATGCATACTATGCTCAAGGTTAGTACTCTATCAAGATAAAAGAGACCACAGGATGACAATAAGCAAGAAAGTAGAATGTTCTGATTTGTATTTTAAAAGCTCTAAGAGCAGCAGAACATTACTGCATTAACCCTAATGAAAGAGGTATTTCTTCATCTTACAGAGAAAGGCTGGGTTTGATTAGAAAAATGAAGATGTGAATTATCCCTTTAGCATTGGCAACTCTAAAAACTGGAGCAAATATTAAACATGGCACTCTGTTTAATAACAAGTCAGATCTAGGTTCCAAAGGCAGTGTCACCTCTGAAAAGTTGTTATCTTGGAGCCAGGTGCGGTGGCTCATGCCCGTAATCCCAGCACTTTGGGAGGCCGACGTGGGTGGATCATGAGGTCAAGAGATTGAGACCATCCTAGCAAAGATGGTGAAACCTCGTCTCTACTAAAGATACAAAAATTAACTGGGCGTAGTGGCGTGCGCCTGTAGTCCCAGCTACTCAGGAGGCTGAGGCAGGAAAATTGCTTGAGCCTGGGAGGCAGAGGTTGCAGTGAGACCAGATCACGTCACTGTACTCCAGCCTGGTGAGAAAGCGAGACTCTGTCTCAAAAAAAAAAAAAAGTTGTAATCTTGGGCAAATTACTTAAGCTCTCTGTATCCCTCTTCCTGGTCTATAAAATAGAGATAATAATATTTATCACAGTGCTATAAGAAATAAATGAGGTTATGCATGTACATTTCTTAGCATTTTGCCTGGCTCATTGTTAGGTGCCCAATAAATGTTATTACAATGACTTAATATATTAAATTAACTTTATGTTACTACATCCGCATTACCAAATTGTCTAAATTTGTCTCATTATTCATGATGATCTGGTAAAAAAAAAAAACTGAGGTGACAGTCTCCTCTCAGAACTTTTAACTTTAAGAATTATTCATCACAGCTAAGTATGTGATACGGTTTGGCTGTGTCCCCATCCAAATCTGAAGTTGAATTGTATCTCTCAGAATTCCCATGTGTTGTGGGAGGGATCCAAGGGGTCTTAACTGAATCATGGGGCCAGTCTTTCCTGTGCTATTCTAGTGAGAATGAATAAGTCTCAAGAGATCTGATGGGTTTATCAGGGACTTCTGCTTTTGCTTCTTCATTTTTCTCTTGCTGCCATCATATAATGAAGTGCCTTTTGCCTCCTACCATGATTCTGAGGCCTCCCCAGCCACGTGGAACTGTTAAGTCCAATTAAACCTGTTTCTTCCCAGTCTCAAGTATGTATTTATCAGCAGCGTGAAAACGGACTAATACAGTAAATTGGTACCAGTAGAGTGGGGTATTGCTGAAAAGATACCCAGAAATGTGGAAGTGACTTTGGAAATGGGTAACAGGCAGAGTTTGGAACAGTTTGGAGGGCTCAGAAGAAGACAGGAAAATGTGGGAGAACGGCTTTGACAAAAATGCTAATAGTGATATGAACAATAAGGTCCAGGCTGAGGTGGTCTCAGATGGAGATGAGGAACTTGTTGGGAACTGGAGCAAAGCTGAGTCTTGTTATGTTTTAACTAAGACACTGGTGGCATTTTGCCTCTGCCCTAGAGATTTGTGGAACTTTGAGCCTGAAAAAGATGATTAGGGTATCTGGCAGAAGAAATGTCTAAGCAGCACAGCATTCAAAAGGTGACTTGGGTGCCATTTTATGCTGTTTTCAAAGGGAAACAGCATAAAAGTTCAGAAAATTTGCAGTCTGGCGATGCAGCAGAAAAGAAAAACCTATTTTGTGAGAAGAAATTCAAGCTGGCTGCAGAAATTTGCATAAGTAGCAAGGAGCCTAATGTTAATCCCCAAGACCTTGGAGAAAATATCTCCAGGCCATGTCAAAGACCTTCATGGCAGCCCCTGCCATCACAGGTCCGCAGGCCCAGGAGGAAAAACTGGTCTCACAGGATGAGCTGAGCCCACTGTCCCTGTGCTGTGTGTAGCCTCAGAACTTGGTGCCCTGTATACCAGCCGCTTCAGCCATGGCTGAAATGTGCCAACACAGAGCTCGAGCTGTTGCTTCAGAGGGTGGAAGTCCCAAGCCTTGGCAGCTTCTACATGGTGTTGAGCCTGTGGGTGCACAGAAGTCAAGAACTGAGGTTTGGGAAACTCTGCCTAGATTTCAGAAGATATATGGAAACACCTGGATGCCCAGGCAAAAGTGCTTCGGCGGCAGGGCCCTCATGGAGAACCTCTGCTAGGGCAGTGTGGAAGGGAAATGTGGGGTCAGTGTCCCCACACAGAGTCCCCACTGGGGCACTGCCTAGTGGAGCTTTGAGAAGAGGGCCACCATTCACCAGACCACAGAATGGTAGATCCACTGACAGCTTCCACTGTGCGTCTGGAAAAGCCACAGATACTCAACACCAGCCTGTGAAAGCAGCCAGGAGGGAGGTTGTACCCTCCAAAACCACAGGGGTGGAGATGCCCAAGACCATGGGAACCTACCTCTTGCATCGGCATGACCTGGATGTGAGACATGGGTCAAACCAGATCATTTTGGAGCTTTAAAATTTGACTGCCCTGCTGGATTTCAGACTTGCATGGGCCCTGTATCCCCTTTGTTTTGGACAATTTATCCCATTTGGAATGGCTGTATTTACCCAATACCTGTACCTCCACTGTATCTAGGAAGTAATTAGCTTGCTTTTGATTTTACAGGTTCACAAGCAGAAGGGACTTGCCTTGTCTCGAATGAGAGTTTGGACTCTGGACTTTTGGGTTAATGGTGAAATGCATCAAGACTTTAGGGGACTGTTGGGAAGGCATGATTGGTTTTGAAAAGTGACGACATGAGAACTGCAGGGGCCAAGGGCAGAATGACACGAGTTGTCTGTGTCCCCACCCAAATCTCAACTTAAATTGTATCTCTCAGTATTCCCACATGTTGTGGGAGGGACCCAGGGCGAGGTAATGGAATCAGTAGGGCTGGTCTTTCTCATATTATTCTTGTGATAGGGAATAAGTCTCAGGAGATCTGATGGGTTTATCAGGGGCTTCCGCTTTTGCTTCTTCCTCATTTTTCTTTTTGCTGCGCACACGTAAGAAGTGGCCTTTCACTTCCCGCCATGACTCTGAGGCCTCTCCAGCCATGTGGAACTGTAAGTCCAATTAAACGTCTTTTTGTTCCTAGTCTTGGGTATGTCTTTATCAGCAGCGTGAAAACAAACTAATACAGTATCAAATATCAGTCATCTAAGTCTTCCACAAACTGTTTATGTAATGGAGACATCTGGGAATCCTTCCAGAAGAAGAAATAAAACTAAAATATGCAGGATAAATAGAGGTTTTCACAAACTACACCTTTAGAATCAATCATTTTAGGTTCTGCTAGACAGTATCATCAACCTATGGAAACAGTTCAAACAATAACTACTTTGAATGTCCCCTGCC